ATATGTTGTATTGTCATTGTCATTTAATTGAAGGAACTGTCTGATTTCTTCTTTAATTTCCTCTGTGACCCATTGGTTATTCAGAAGTCACACATACTAGTCTTTAGGATATTTCAATCTAAGATTTACAAGAGTAGAAAAGCCAACCAGTTGGTTTCCACTCTATCCTCTTCCCATTTGCCTCTACTTTGTGCCTCGTGTCCCTGTAATACATGGACGAGGTTACAGGCAGTCTTACCACCCCTGTGTATTACATCGTGCAACTGAAGCAGTCAGTTGTGGAAGGGGTCAATGCCCATATCCAAGTTGCTACATATATTTTGCATGAAAACAAATCTTTGAAATGATATAACTTTATGTAATTTCATGTTGTCATTTTGCACTTTGATTTCACAGTTGACCATGAACGATTTCAGTGTACACAGGATTATTGGACGAGGAGGATTTGGTGAAGTATATGGTTGCAGGAAAGCAGACACTGGAAAAATGTAAGCCTTCTAACTATGTATTTTACCAGAACTGTTAACATAATTTTATGTTTGCACCCATTGAAAATCCCTGTACAGAAATATGGAAGTCCATGATCTTTCTCTGGAAAGAAGTTATCACAGAAAGAAATGGGCTGTATGCTGATAAGCACTGTGAATGAGAACAATAAGCCTGAACCTCATGTCAGGACCTATGGGAGTTAACAGTGACTGTGTATGGAGTGCCCACCTTGGCTTGGGCTGTGGGTGGAAAGCAGGGGCCCAGAGATGAACAAGGAGCATTTCCTAACAGCTGGGAACCTGTGATGTTTGCCTTCTAGTCAGATCACACTGTGAAGAATTCTTTGCTTTGCACAAGAGAGACATTCTTTGCTAAACAAAGACCAACCTCTGTGGTTAAGTGTAGGCATTTTGGGGTTACCTGCACTTCAGGAGATGTCAATGCCATGGACTAGTAGTTTGGGTGCTGGAGGTGGGGGCCCTATGTTTGACAATGGCAGTGAGCATGGGGCTCCATCCCTCTCAGAACCTTTACCTGTGAGAGGTCAAGGGGAGGGCATTGAGTGCACAGATACTTTGAGGGCATTAAGTGCCACAGGGTCTTCTGGGCAGGGTTCCTAAGCATGGGGGAAATTGCTCTTTTTTAATTAAAAATGAACATACTCCGGAAAGCAAAAGAAAATGGAAACATGATTTAATAGATCCAGAACTACAGCTGTGTTTAAATGACATGCATTTTGGAGTAATGGGTGAGGTGGAGTGGTATTTGAAGGGTGGTTTATAAGATGATTGAATCATCAGGAAGTCCTTGGGGTGCCCTAATTCAGGGCCTGCCTCCAACTGCATCCATTCCCCTGCATAGTCTGCAGGTCTTCCCCGCAGCTCTGTTCAGTATGCCTGTCCTTTCTGTTTTCAGGCAGGTTCTGTAGCTGCCAATATTTGGAGACTGAAATTGTACTTCACTAATTTGTGTCACTGCCTTGGGGCTCTGTTTAAGATGAGCAGAGGCCTATCAGTAAGTTGAAGCCTGGTGTCCTGAGACAGTGGTCTCCTATCCAGGGCAAGGGTCCTGAAGTCACACCAGCGAGGGCAGGTTGGGTTTCTATTCCAGCCCCAGTTTGTGACCTGTTCCTCCACAATCCCTAGTCTGTAAGGAGGAAAATCCAAGTACCTAGTTGAGAGAATTAAATAAGATGACCAAACAGAAACATTCTCTCTCATAGTAAGTGCCAGTGCACAGAGCGAGTTTAGACACAGGTTCTTCTTCAACCCTGGCCTCTGCCTTGGAAGTTCTTCCCCATCCTATCCTCACTCAGTGGACTTTCGATCCTAATTAATACAGTTTACTTATGGCTTATTGTGTCTTCGTTAAGGTTTTAGTTTTACTTCATCATTGCAGCTATGGGAGTACTTAGAATATCTAGTCTGTCATATGATGTTTTTGAAATAAATAATACCAGTTGATCTCTTTGTATGAAATTATTTTACCTAACCCACAAAAACAACCAGCATGTAGTCCATATTCTCTTTCTTGACCAGGCATGATGGTTCATGTCTGCTGCTTGGGAAGCTGAAGCCAGAAGTGTATTAGAGCCCAGAGGTCTGAGACCAGTCTGGGCAACATAGCAAGATCCTGTCTAAACATCAACAGTAAAGTCTTTATCTTGTGTAGATGAGGTATAAATGGTTATCAAGAATCACACAGTAGGAAGTGGTCAGGCTTTATGTATTGGTCAGCTTTACCATTACTGAGCCAGACTATCTGGCATTTACAGTTTGAGTAGGAGAGGTTGAATTTGCCTTGTGGTTTCAGTTCATGATCTCTGGGTTCAAGGCAGAAATATTATGGAGGAAGACTGGTGGAGCAAAGCAGCTTACATCACAGCGACTAGGAAGCAGAACACAGGGGAAGAGCACCAGGAAGATATATACCCTCCAAAGGGCCCAGTGACCACCTCCTTCAACTGGACCCCACCTCCTAACAGCACATTCAGCCATGAACATCAGTGAATTAGTGCACTGCTAAGTGTAGTGCCCCATGATCTAGTTACTTCTCTAAGAACCTCTTAATCCAGTCAGTATGTCAAGTTTAACTGGTACAGCCTCATGCCTAGAAATCGTTTTTTTAAACTTTTTTCATTAGTACATATTTGTCATACATACTGATTACCTTCATCATAGGGAATTTGTACCTGTACATTGTATATCTTAATTCTTCTTTTTTCCCTTTTTTTCCCCTGCCTTTAACCCTTCTTCCTCTCCCATTTACAAAAGCTTTGCTTCCATTTTTTCGTTCCATTCTCTTTTTTCCCTTTTCTTTGAGACCATAATCTTAAGTGAAATAAATCAGACACACAAGTTTAACTATCGCATTGTTTCTTTCCTGTGAGGAACCCAAAGGGTAAATAAGGAGCATAATGGAGGATAGATATTGGGAAGTTGGAAGAACATGTTCAAATAGGAAGGGTAACAAGGGAGCAGGGAGAGCGAAGAGAAGGAGGAGAAAAAGAAAAAACTCCTAGGAATCCTACTCGATTCTTGCCAGGCTGCAGGCTGCCAGGTAGGCCTCACATGCATTGGCTCCATACCCTTCCCCCCACATACACACCAGGGAGTCGCCACTCATACCCCTGGAGCTATGCTGTGACACTTAAAGGCTTCCTTGAGTGGACTTGCTCAGCCAGGGCCTGGGTGTCCTGTATGCTCTAGTATGAAAACCACCCTGGTAGAGAGTGATATTAGAAGAGGTGTGAAGCCTTTTTAAAATGTCTCATCATAAAAATGAAGTATTTAGGGCCAGGGATTTAGCTCAGTGGTTCTGCTGCCTGCCTCACAAGCGCAAGGTCCTGAGTTGAATCCCTGGTACAAAAAAAAAAAAAAAAGAAATATTTAAAGAGCATGTCACTATATATTTTCAATAGTTCATCCTATAATGAAGCACATGAATGTCTTGCCAATTGATTGATTGTAAGAATTCTTGGACAAATGGATAAAACTACCAAATTTATACATTTGTTTCTATTTTTATGTAACTCAAACATGGTAAGTTTTGATTAATAAAGAATAAGTGGGTTTTCTGTATTCCACCCCACTAAGACTCCATGGAGTGGAAGCCTGGGCTTATGAGGCAGATCATCAACAGGGAGTATCTAGTTGCGTACACAGAGTTATCGGTCTGAGAAAAATTTGTAAAGGCACTGCATACATTCCCTATAGGCTTTCTGTGTCCAACTGAAAGCTTCCTGTTTTCTTTTCTTTTGCCTGTGATTTTAGAATGTGCTAGAGAACTTGTCTGTGTTTTCTTAATATGAGTTTGTTCCAAGTTCTTGAAAATCTTAAATTGTCAATTGGTCTTTTCAATTAACTTTAACCAATGATAAATTGAAAATCTTATTTTTTATTATTTGAAATATAATAAAACATCAAGATTAAAAACATCAGTTTAACATCTTACATTTTGTACATTCTTATCAAAACTTGACTGCTAGTGAATTCACAATTCCAGCCTCCTAAATATGATATATAGGCCCACAGTCCCAGTAGGCAGGAGCAATGAACAAAATATTTCAGCAAGTTTATTTATATTCATCTACATGTAATGATAGAAATGTCTTAAGTACTATTTTTTTCTCATAGTACATAAAAATTTGTATTTCTTATGTGGTGATTGGGCGGCATGTTGTGTTTTGTTTGTTTTTTGGCATGATGCTAGGGATCAAACCCAGGGCCTTCACACTGAGCTACATCTCCAGCCCATTTTTAATTTTTTAGTTTTAGACAGGATCTCATTAAGTTGCTAGGCTGGGCTCAGACTCAGGATCCTCCTGCCTTAGCCTCCCAGAGTGCTGGGATTATAGGCATGTATACCTTATCTGGCTCCATTTTATTTCTTTTAAACATTGCCTAAATCTCAAGGAACTCTTAGCAGTGTGATGTATATTGTTTAAATCTGTCTAGATGTATTTACAGTATAGATTTTCCATCATCTTTATGCTTGTAGGTATGCAATGAAATGCTTGGATAAGAAGAGGATCAAGATGAAGCAAGGAGAAACACTAGCTTTAAATGAAAGGATTATGTTGTCTCTTGTCAGTACAGGAGTAAGTATCCAGTTTCCAGCTTTGCTTTTAAAATTTATTTGTCTACTTAATAGCAGGATGGTTTATTTGTTCCTGCTGATTATGGGGCAGGCCAATTCATAGCTAGGGTGGGATTTGATATCTTATTGTTCTTGAAATCAGAAGTTAGCAGAGTCAGAGTCCAGCTGCCTTCACTGTATACCATGACTTCCTTCAGTGCCTGTTGACTTCCTTCTCTGCAGAGTATAGTAGCTCTGTATAGTAGCTGAGATGGCAAAAAATAATCATAAAAGAAAAAAATCACTTTAACATACTAAAAAAAAGTGATGACATGACAAAGCAGGGCTGATCCTGAGAGGAAAGTAACTCTTGCCCTCCACGAGCAAATGGAGAGGGAGTGGCTAGGGTTGGTCAAGTCTGAATGGTCCTGTTGAAGTTGGCCCTCATCAGTGTTTCCTTTGGATGTGGCTTCCTCTTGCCTTCTGCACTTGATGCTTGGTCTCGCAATAGACTAGTCATTTCCATTCCCAGCACTGCATTTCTACCTGATGGGCATTTTGTGTATGTGTCAACCTCTTACTTTTAGTTCAGGGAAGATAGAAACAAACGCTTACCCTGGGTCATCTTTACCTACAAAGCAGCTGCCCATTCTGACTTTTCGATTTGTGTGTGTCATTGGGATCTGAATGAATTTAATATTGAATACCCACGCCAGCTGAGTTTATACCCAAAGAGATGAGGGTGGTCTAAATCTTACTGCTAAATTCCATGTGAGGTCATCTTCACCAAAATGGTGCAAAAGCATCAAGTTTTATTGGCTAATCTGAGAATCCTTTTCAACTATTATTCAAGGAACTTGCAGCCCACAGTGGTCAATTTGCTTGCCAGCATACCCTGTATGCCCTGGCCGGGACTCCCTTCATGCCAGTGCTTTGTGGGCCAAGCACCTTGGTTTTATCACCTATACTTATTGTGTCATGGTTTGTATTATTCTAGCCTTCATTGTAAGTGCTTTTAGAAGGGCTGTTTTCTATCAGAGCAATGGAACAGAATAATCTAGCAAGAACTGTAACAAATGAAAATGCCATGGCTATAAATAATTTCTAATTATGTGCTTCTGCCTCCCAATATATGGATGTTAAGCCTTTCAAATAGGAGTCATTCTGTATGTGTGTGTCTGTGTGTCACCAAGTTTGTACCTGATGGAAATGGGGACAATGTGAACGGCCTTAGCTCCCAGCCTCTATTGGAATTGTTTGTGTCTTAAATTTCACACATGTGCACTTTCCCTGAAGACTTTAGTTATTACAGCGTTAATTTTTAATGAGTTATCCCAAGCCTTGGATAAGAAAGCCTATGCAAAAAATGTTTTGATATGAGAAAAACAAGGGATAGTTTTTGTGTAACATTTTATTTATTTTATTCAGATGAAGGAGAATATAGTTAAGCACGTGTATGATTTTTCACTGGTCTGATCTTAGAGGAGAACATTTTAAAATGAGGTTATATTCGGCTACTACTCTGAACTAATTTAGAAGAATTATTCCTATTTTTACTCAAACAGTGAACCATATACTGTTTGAAAATTTATATATGTGGAATTTAATTTAAAGAGTTATAGTGAAGTTATATGGGACTATTTATTTGCTAATCAAAGGCCACTTTTGGTAGATTTTTAATGATACTTAGTTTAAATTGAGCAAAGACAAAGCTCTGGGACAACCTGGACTGTGGGGTTTGGGGCGGTGAGAGGCACTACACTCACTCCTGGTGATTTCTTTTGCTTTCAGTTATCGTCCCCCCAGTCTCCAGTGTTCCCGCCCCACCATGAGCTAGTAGGAATTACTATACTGCTTTCTTCTGCCATACTTGGACAGTAGAAAGGGAAATGTGTGTGTGTTTCAGAACCAGGAAGGTATACCCACAGCTTTGAAGAGCACTCAACAGGTTCACAAATGAAGTCATGTGGCTTCATGGGCTGCACTGCTCAGTCCTCTCCAGAACCGCAGTGAGTGCCTAGAGGGTGCAAGTACCTCCATGTGCTGGGATCCCAGCCCCTCATCCAGCTGCCCAGAAGGGGACAAGGTGATATCCAGATAGCTGGGGAATGTGCAGGCATTTGGGACAAGTGACAAGCACTGTGAAAGGTTACTGGGGCTTGGGAGACATCTGCCAGGGTGAAGGTGTATCTCCAGCAGGGTAAGGTTCTTGTTCACTCGGGGCGGGAATTCCAGGAGGAGCTTTACACTTGAAAGTCTGCTCTACAAACCCATGGGCATGTGCTCACCCAGACCCGCAATTGGGCAGGTCACCCTGACCATGTCTGCTTTAGCTTTTATTAACCGCAGGGTGTGTTTTCGTATCAGTCAGTGTTGAGTTCTCTCATAACAGCGCCTGCCCAGCACCTGGAGAGAAGGGGAGAGCAGGCCAGGTGTTCCGTAGAGGTCCCTGTTCTTCCTCCCTCACTGCGCTTTTACTTTATACCATGTGGTTGAGAAATACAGTGGGACTTTCATTACAATAATGAGAACAGGTTTTATTCTGTAGATAGAGACAGCGGGGAAGGAGCAGAGTCCTTTCCCACAATATGAGGAGGGCTGGAGTGCTTCCTCTGGAGAGTAGGGAGCAGGTGGACCATGGGGGCTCATGCAGAGCCAGGAAAGAAGAAAGGGGGCTGTCCATGTGAGACTCATCTGGGTTGGCCCTGTTACTTGTTGAAATTGGGCTCCTCCCCTTGCACAGAGGCTGGGGGGCCAGGGCCCTATCTGAAGGTGTGGGGTGACTTACATAGTAGGCACTTCGTCACCCTTGAGCATTCTCAGGTAGGTGTGTTACTGAGGGCAAGGATTGTCCTCAGGGTACGGCCTAGAGCTTTGAAAAACTGCCCATGTTTGTTCAAGCGTTGGGAGGTCAAGATTGAAGCCTGGTCAAAAAGAGGCCTCTGCAGAGCCTGGCTAGCTATGGGCCAAAGAGAGAATTTGCCCATTGCTGGGGAAACTTGTCTTGTAAGGAGAACTCTGGAGAGGGTGAGGAGGTATGGCATTTGCATCTTACTGACTACCAACTTTTTGTGATCTCAGGCAAATTTTTCCTTTTAGGGGGAACCCTAATTTCCTCATCTTTAAAATAAAGAAGTCATGATTTTTTTTCTTTAAAAAGCCCTTACTATACTTGGGTAGCCTATGATTTCTAAGTCTAAAATTTATGTCCCATCATAGTAACATGGTATTTTAAGCAGACTTTGACCTTTTGGTGTTGTAACATGTACTGTCATGTTCAGAAATCCCCCAGGAAGGATCTCTTTGTCCCCTGGTGGTGTGGATGCAGTTGCCAGCTTAAGCTGGTAAAGATCTTGGTTTTACTGAGTTCTGGGTCCACTGCTTCTCTGCTCTGCAAATGGATTGCTTATCAGATCAGGAGCAAGAGCCTGTGGGAAACCCCACTAAGAAGAGCCATGATCTGGAGGAGACAGCATCTTCACAGGCCGCCAGAGAGCCCTGGGTCGCACAGGGGTCGCCAGGCAGGACAGACCACCAGAAAGGCCCTGGGACTCTTACCAGATAGCACTACATTTGCTCTCCTTAGACAAAATAAATCTTTTTTAAATTTTTTATTTTTTAGTACATGATTATAGTACATAATGATTATGTAATTCATTGTGGGGAATTGGTACATATGCATAACACATTCTCTTTTTTCCCCCCTTCTTGACCCTCCCCTTTGCCAGCATCAGATTCATTTGTTTATCTTATAAGTCCTTATAGTTAATTATCGTACATACCAATGAACAGCCTGACTAACTGGCAAAAAAAACATAAACACATAAGACAATTATACTAAATCAAGGTACAGTTTTAGATATATTGTTCATACTAGATTACAATAACTTTTTTCCTATTGTCTGTATTTTAGGCAAAATAAATCTTGAAATCAGTAAATACTAACCCTATCTTAACAGAACTTTAAGGAAAACTAGGTAAACACAAAATGAATTTTGTAATTAATTGGAGTTAATTTCTCTAGAAGATTTAGGGAAATTGAGCTCCAAGTTTCTAAATCTTTATTATATAGAAATGTATTAACTCCAAATTATCTACCCTTAACATAGAGGTTTTAGTAGTGCAAATTCTGTTTACAGATTATTCTGTGGAAATTTGAACATTTTCTTTGGAATGTAATATTTGCTACGCCTATTAAAGTGGATAGACAGTCTCTGCCATTGTTCGGTTTGAGTCACTGTAATGGCAATTACACTCTGTATATAAAGCATCTCAAGAGATGTAGCAATAGGTCTAGCAGAAGTACCAGTGTTCTAGAAGTCTCCCAGCTCCCCTCCCAGTCACCAGCCCCAACCCAAGCCAGCTGTTCTCCAGGTTGCCAACACCATGATTGAGCTGTGTTAATTTTGTTTGAGCTGTGTCTGAATGTGCTCCTTTGTGTCCAGTGCTCTCTCACTATCAAGCATGAGATGCATCTGTGTGTTGCTCACAGCGGCAGCTCATTCTGGTAGCTGAGGCGCAGGCGGCAGTGAGCGCCTTGTGGCCCTGGGCCCAGATTTAGCTGTGGCTTTATTTTGTACAGCCTTGAACTAACAATGGTTTAAATGATCATAAGGAAAATAAACAAGGAATAGATTTGTGAGACTGCATGGGACTTGCAAAGCCTAAAATACATGCTGTTTAGCCCTTTTCAGACAATGTTTGCTGACCTCTGTTCTGTGGCATTCTAATGTATAAATATACCACCCAGACTCACCTATTCCACTCTTTCCAGGCATCCCAGGACTTTCTGCACGTTGATCTCAGTACAGTAGATTGCAGGTTGTGCTAGGTGACCTTGAAGTGGGGTTGCTGGGGCTCAGGGTTTGCAATGATACTCAGCCTTGGGGCATACCACCAAACAGCGGGTTAAGGCAGTGGTATCATTGTACACTGCCAAATCCGTATGTGCAAGTTCCCTTCACTGCAGACCTTTCCAACACTTGACAGTGCCACTCTAAAAGTTGGCTATTCCTGTGGGTTTCAGTGGTAGGAGGTGTGGCTTTAATTTGCATTTCTTTGGAGACACCTGAGGTTGAGCATCTACTCAGAGGCTTGTGGGCTATTTGGTATGCGCTTGTGTGAAGTACTTTTTTTTTTTTTGGTACCAGGGACCAAACTCAGGACCTCGAGGCAGGTGCAGTGCCACTGAGCTAAATCCCCAGCCCATGAAATGTTTTTTTAATGAATGAGTTACTATGGCATATTTCTATTGGATTATTTGCCTTTTTCTTGTACTGATTTATAAGAATTCTTTATATGTTGGGCATGAGTCCTTTGCTTAATTACAAATTACAAATATCCTCTCCCATTCTGTGGCTTGACTTTTCTCTTAACTGTGTTTTCTGCTCAACAGAAGTTCTTAATTTTATTATAGTCAAGTTTATCAATGTGTTTACTGATGTGGCCTGTTTAAGAAAGCCTTACCTTCCCCAAGATTCTGAGGATCATTCTATTGTGTTTTCTTCTAGAAGCTGTGAAAATAAAATTTGCACATTTAGATCATCATCAAGTGGAGGGGATATTAGTGTGTGGAGCGAGGTCCGGGGTATGGGTCATGTTTTATTTTACAGCAGTTCAGTTGCTCTAGTGCCACTGAGTGAAAAACCATCCTTTCCCCTGCCCCATTGTGGCACCTTATCACAACTCAAGTTCCAATTTAGGCATGGGTCCACTTCTCTGTGCTGTTCTCTGTGCTATTCCACTTGTATACTTGTCTGTCCTTGGGCTGAATTATTACTGATTTATAATAAGGCTTGATATCTGCTACTCTTAAGTTTTCTAGCTTTGTTTTTCTTCAAGTGTATCTGAACTTTCTTGGCTATTTACAGTTCCATAAATATTAGAATCGGCTTGTCAATGTTCATTTTAATTAAAGTTGTATGGCATCTATAAATTAATTCAGGTCTGCTTATAATTAAGTTATTCAGTCCCTGACCATGGTCTGTTTTTCCAGTTTTAAAAGCTAATCACTTTATTCTCAGTGTTTCAAAACAATAACAGATATTCTTCCCTCCTATAGTGTACTCTAATATAGTCATTCCACCTTCAGAAGCAGAGATGGAAATGGGTATTTGACTAGGCAAAATTAAAATGCTGGCCAATGAAAAGATTAGTGAGATGAGACTTTTCTCTAGAATCTAGACTTTTGAAATTGAATGCAGGTGAGAAAGAGCCTTGAAGTTCATCTGCCCCACTGACTCAGGTTGTGTCTCTGTGCACGTCATCATTACGAGACCTGCCTCACTGTCACCTCTGAGGTGACCATGCATAGTAAGCAGGTGGTGGCCAGGCCATATCCACAGGGTGATGTCTGGTGACACATGTGCTCTCCAAGGCAGCCTTTGCTCTGCTCATCAGCTTCTGTTCCTTCCCTGCAGGATTGTCCTTTCATTGTCTGTATGACCTATGCCTTCCACACTCCAGATAAACTCTGCTTCATTCTTGACCTGATGAACGGTAAGCAAACCCAAAGTCTGTCCCCTGAAAGGCTCTATATAAGGTTCCATCTGGGCAGTGAACTTCGAAGCTGGTGTTCAGTCCTCTCTGGTGATCAAGTTCTCCCCCTCCCCAACATTTGAGGAAACCTTTTCCCTTCAGTTTTCAGTCAAAATTCATTTTACAACATTGACCATGATTTCCCTCTGGGCCTGCCAGTCTCTCCCTAGGAAGTTGGATTTTCTAGAAAATATTCTCATAAAATACTGCCAGTGAAATTTGATTTTCTGGAATGCAGCTGGTATAGGTCTTTAGCTTATTTCCTGACCCTCAATTTTTAGGAATGAAACACCTCCCAAGAACATAGGCCAAAGACATGTGTTTAAAAACCAACTTGGAAGAGTTGACTTTGGCCCAGTACAGATTTCAGCTAAATGCTCTGCGCCTTCTGAATCCACAGAATCCTCAGCTCATCTTTCAAACTGAGCAACGGCCCAGATTGAGCCAAAAATGTCCAACTGGAAAAGTTGCTTTATAATATAAGAAAGTGATACAACATATATTCAAAGTATTTTTAGTAACAAGGGCTGAAGTTAAGAGGTAGACAATTCAACCATTCAGATGCTTAGTTTATTTTTTTAAGTTCACTTGAAGCTTTGAGTGTTTGATTTAAAACAAGATTTATCTAAAAACAGGAAGGAATTTCTCAGACATAATCATGAACCAAATCAGCCAGGCACCAGCACAGATCACACATGCTCGAAATATATGGAGAATGTTTAAATACAATTTATTATAGTAAAAGATACATTGTCATTCATCCCCCCTCAAAACACTTCCCCTCACTTTAAACACACTCAGCTGGGCATGGTGGTGCACACCTATAATGCAGCACTCAGAGGCTGAGGCAGAAGGATCACCATGAGTTTGAGGCCAGCCTGGTCTGCATAGTGAGTTCAAGACCAGCCTAGACTACATAGTGAGACCCTGTCTCAGCAAAACAAAACAAAACACATACCCCATGATTCTTGCCACTTTCTGAAGCAGCTCTACAAGACCTTATTCATGAGTGTCTTTAGGAGATGTGAGTAAAAATTCAGTGAACAGCACTGCTAAGTGCCATCCAGTGGGAAAGCAGGCTCAGAAACATTGCAGTGTGTCTTCATCCACCTTATTCACCAGATCTGGCCCCATGTCACTTCTGAGTCTTCCCCCAAAGTCAAAATGACAATGAAAGAAAAATACTTTGAACTTATTCAGGACTTTGAGGTAGCCACAACAACTCAACTAAAGAGACTCAAAAAAAGATTTGCAGAACTGGTCTAGAAATGGCAAGAACAGTAGAATAAATGTATTTGAAGTAAGGGGGAGCATTTTGAGGGAGATTAATAACAATGTGTCTTTTAGTGTAATAAACTTTTTTGAAATGTAAACATTCTTCGTATTTTTCATACCTTATATTTGCTTAGGACTGGACGGGGCAGAGGGACCAAAGCTGTGGCTGGAGAGGGCCCCGGGGAGCTTTCAGGATACTATAAATTCAGTCTTGAATGAGGACAGAGACGCACTGGTATGTGTTGGGGGAGTGCTGTACCTATCAAGGCCAGGGTGATGAAGTGGAAGACACATTAATTTTATAAATCGAGAGACTTTTCCCTATGGCTTATAAAACTATTCTCTTGCCCTGTTGTTGACAGTATTGCTCCCCGTAACTTGAGTCCCCATGATTATTTCCTTTTCCCAACATTGTATTATGAAAAATTTCAAACATGTGGCAAAGTGGAAAGAATTTTACTGGGAACACTCAGACACCCACATCTGGGTTTTACCTGTTCAAATTTTACTGTATTTGTTTTATCACATTTTCTCTGGTTGTTTTGTCTGTCTAGAGGCAGTCACTAAACTGCCTTGGAATCTCTGCAGAGTCGATTCAGTCATCAAACAGGGTTTAAGTAATTGAAGTAGGTTAGCTAGTCCTGCCTTTGATGGAGTAATGGCAGCTGAGCTGCCAACCCAAGCCCAACTGTGACTTTGCTCTGCTGTCTCATGACACCCATCATTGCATTTAAGTCTTCTGAAGATCACATTTTCTCTGTAACATTTTTAAGTTTTTATGAAACTACAGAAGGCAGAGCAACATTTGCTTTCTCTGTTTGTGTCCTGACTACTTAGGATGACAGTGATTCTTGTTCCCTTCAAACAAACACACTGTGAATTAACTTCTGCACCTGATTTCAGGTGGCGATTTGCATTATCACCTCTCACAGCACGGAGTGTTTTCTGAGAAGGAGATGAGGTTTTATGCCACAGAAATCATTCTGGGGCTGGAGCACATGCACAGCCGCTTCGTGGTCTATAGAGACTTGAAGGTGAGGACAGAAGATTTGCTGCTTCTGCATGGTGGGTCCAGATGCTGTACTGATGCCCTCCAAGGTCTCCCCTCCTCTATCTGTGCTATCCCCTCCCTTATAGCTCCATCCTGTCCCTGACAGAGTCATTCTCTGTGTGGTGTTTGTCTCTTTGACTCAGACTCTCCAGGGACAGAACTCATGGCCATCCTCATTGTGTGATCACCTCAGCCCCTGCTCTGGTGCCCAGAATAGCACTTAGGCCAATCAGAAATTTAATAATTAGGGCCGGGGATTTAGCTCAGTGGTTCCGCCACCTGCCCTACAAGCTGAAGGACCCAACTTAGATCCCTAGTACCAAAGAAAAAAAAAAAGAAATTTAATAATTAGTAAGAAGAAGCAAGGAAGGAATATTTTTGGTGTTGCTCATTTTATAATTATTTGTGGTTCAATTAATCTTCACTAAACAACTGATTTGGCTGTGGCTGTTTGTCAGAGATGGAAATATGCTAAGATGAACAAGCAGAGAACATGCAGTAGTACCTTGGTTCATGAACGCTTTTGTTTGCAAACAGTTTAGTTTGCAAACAAAAGCATTTGGCAAAATTTTGTTTTTGTTTATGAACTCTGCATCGAGTGACAAACACGATTGCAACCATCTTTCTCACAAGAACACAAATGTGGCCGTCTTTTCCAGAATCATGGAATGAATTAAGTTCATGAACTGAGATACCACTGGGAGGTCGGGGGGCCGGGCCGCAGGGAGTGTTGTTTGTTTGTTTGTTTGTTTGAGACTTATAGACTGGCTCCTTTAAGGCCAAGCTGGTCAGGATGGGTGAATTTCTGATCAGCCTGCAGAATTTCTCCAAAGATCAGTCTTACAGTTTCCCATTGTGTTGAGATTGCTTTAAAAACCACCAATAGATTTTCAGATACCTGAACTCCATAACCCCTGATGCTATGCTTGGGTCTCTGCTCTTGTACCAGGACTTGGTCCTATTGCAAGCTTTCCTACTCCAAACCCTGTGCTTGGTCTTGTTTGTCCATGGAGGAAGAAGTCTGTGACTTACTCAGTGTGTCCTCGGTGACCCTTAGCAGCCTGAAGTCAGGGATGGCGAGAAAAGGGACCTTAACAAATACAGATAGGCTTGTACAGATGTGTTAATGTGTAAATAACAGTGAGAAAAAAATTCACAGGAATAACAGTTTGCCAGAAAAATGAGAAGACACCAGGAGAATGGTGACAAATATTTGCCTCCTATTTGAGATTCTTGAGACTCAGATCCACAGTGACCAAAGCACAGGTTACGTTCCTTTTTCTAAGGAGTTGGGATGTTGATTAGCTTTTTAACTTACCTTCTACCAACCTAAAATGTTATAAATGTACTTTTTGAACATTTTTTTCCACGAAATATTTTGTGAATTTTAAAGCTTTCTGCAAGGCTTTCCCTTTGTTTTCATGTGCACATAAGTAAAGAAAAATAGTATTTTTATTGAGTTAGACATAATTAGATGTCAGTGACATTTTATTTCCTCATGGGTTTTACAGAAGATTGCTGCTGAAGGTTCATGAAGTGCTATTCTGATACATTTTAATTTAAACCTATAAGCGTTTTCTAATCATCTTTATGCCATATTTTTGTTTTCTAAGCTATTTAGTTGGCTATTATTTAATGCTATTATTTAATTTCTATTCAAAGTGAATTCTAGTCACTCATGATTATTTATGCTTCAATTTTAAAATAGCATGCCATTATTTTTATTTTAACCAAAACAATAGTTGATCTCCAGCAGAAAAATATTATTAAGATGACAGTAATTCGATGTACATTAGGGAGAGGAGCTTTGTTTTCCATGATTACACTAAATCTAATCTTGATACATCTCGTCAGAGTGGTGGTGAGAATCATATTTGGTCATTTAGTAGAGCCCTCACTTGATGATGTACCGGTAAAACAGAAATGACACTTATCAGGATTAGTGTGGCACTGTGGAACAGTTTGACTTCTTAGGTTAGCATCTGTGTGTTCTTGCAAGGTTTCTTTCTGTTCTGTGCTGTGCAGCTTCATCCTCTTTAAAGTTTTGATTCACCTAAGCCGCACAGAAGGTGGTACTGCTCCCTGTTGCCAAGAGTTACCTGACCTGGCTACCCTGTGGCTCCTGGCATGGAGTTAAGGAGTTTCTTGCTGTTCGCTCTGATGAACTGTGGTCAGAACCTGCCCAGATCAATTGCCCATGTGTCATTTTTTAAGGAGTAAAGTCTTTCACCTCTTTCACTGCCTCTTCTTTGGTAAAATTAACCTGAGCAGTGTTGTTCTCTGTGCTCTGCCCTGCTTCATTTGGGAGCACAGCTATAATTGCATATTTAGGAACAAACTATGACAAAGTTATATATTAGCAAATGTGCATGCTCTTAGAAGGTCTCCAAGCCCCATGGCCTGTTGCGACTTCTGATGAGCATCTTCTGTTTCCATTTAGCCTGCAAATATCCTCCTGGATGAGCATGGGCATGTCAGGATCTCCGATCTCGGACTGGCCTGTGATTTTTCCAAAAAGAAGCCGCATGCAAGCGTGTAAGTGGCACATCCACTGTATTGGCTGCCCTTTCCCTGCTGCAGTTCATTTGTTCCATCAGGCACTAGCTTAGCCATTGTCTCCCACCCCCTTTCTCCTGCCATCTGTGCTTTTCAGTACCCACTGGTGGGACTGGGTGATAATACCTAGTCAGGGGATGATCCATCATTGCAGGTTTGGGGTGGAGGTAAGAGTGAGATGCTTCAGGAGCATGAATTGCCCCACACTGGAACTAGCCTGCTCAGGAAGTGTCTGTGGCAGTGTTGGCAAACCTATGGCACATGTGCTGCACCAGGCCATATCATTGAAAGCTCTACAAGGTTCGCTGTCCCTGCTCTGTGGGGAGTCTTCAGGCCTTGGATAGAGAGCTGAATTCATGCTGCCTGTGAACCTAAGCAGGACAGCTCACCTCTTTGACCCTCAGTCTCTTCTCTAGAGTAGTGATGATAATAATAAATCTCTTTACATTGCCATAAGGATAAATGCAAGAACCCAAGTGCCAAAAGAGGGGTGCAGGCAGCTGTACAGAACTCTCCAAGGCAGGGTCTAAGGGTCAAGTTTCCCTCTCTATCTGCTTTTTTCTTCTTTTTTAAAAATACTTTTTTTCCTCTGAAGAGAAATCAGGACATTTTCTTTCCTAAATTGAAGACACTAATCATCTCTCTGTAGTTTAGGCTTTTAATGTGGGTCATGTTGTTGGATTCAGGTATTTTGCCAGTCCTCCAAGTTACCACATGGGGGTAACTCCTGGTCTGCAGCCTGGGGCCAGCTCCTGGCACATCAGGGACACTGAATTTCTCCTGGTGGTGGCCCTGTTTGGTCTGTGCTGGTTGATATGGCCCAAGGTCATCTCCTAACTCAGGAAAATGACAGGAGGCATGTTCAGACAGCTCTCTCCTGGTCTACAAACACAGAATGGAGTCTGCCCTGCTGTTCATTTCTGTTTCTTTGTTATCAGTTCATCTGGGTGGAAAGTAGACATGTATACCATTTGTGGTAAAGCAGACAAATTCTGCTTTGTCCTTTTAAATGTCACATTCTTAACACTGCATCTTTTAATATTACATTTTATTGTCCCTCTTGAGTGAACATTGGTCTCTGTTGAATGGTCTCGAGGAAACTCCCTGAGGTCTCATTGCATACATCCATGCAGAAAATAAACTACAGACCATCTCTTTGTGTAACTAGAAGTAAAGTAGTTCTGGATTACAATCCCTTATGTGGAACTGCATTAAAGCAAAATTGCCTTTTAAAGCTCTGATCAAATGTTAACAGTGAATAGCAGCATTTCTATAAACATACTTTTTTTTCTACAGAGCGAAGGATATGGCAATAAAAGCATTAGCATTTTGCTAGCATTTTCCAGTTATTAGGCTAGAGCCCGTGGTTGTATAAGCTTCTCTCAGGGAGTTCTGCAGATGTTTTAGAGTCATTTGAATTTTTAATGCCACAGCTATTTGGTATGCTAATTTCTTCAGTTTACTGTAATCATCACTATGAACCCAAGAGTTCATAAGAGTTAATCTTCCAAAAGAATTAACTTTCAGAAATGGAGTTATTTCCTTTTACAGCCCAGCCTACTTTTTGCTCAATTTCATGTCATCTCTGAGAGGTGGGCTCTTCTACCTACCTTGGGAAGCTCAGTGTTTGAATAGCATCTGTGAAAGGGTTGGACCAAGAAGGCTAGTTTGCATGTTAATTGATAAGAGAAATACCATTGCTTTACAAAGCTAAATGCACAGTGAAATGCTAATCTTTTTTTTAACCCAGGACCTTCTCACTAAGCCTCATCCTCAGCCCTCTTTTTTTTTTTTCTTTTTTTTTTTTTGTTACCGGGGATAGAACTCGGGTCCTTGCGCTTGCACAGCAGGCAGCGAAACCACTGAGCTAAATCCCCAGCCCATCCTCAGCCCTCTTTATTTTTTATTTCAAGACAGGATCTTGAATTTTTTGATGCTCCTGCCTGAGCCTCCCAGAGTGCTGGAATTACTAGCACCTGACACACAACATTTTTAAAAGAAGGAGGCTTTTTGTGACTAAGAACAAAGGCTTCAGAGCCACTTGGTCTGGGTTTGAATCTCTTTTCCAGGTTGTCTGAACCTCATTTCTCTCTTCTATAAAGAGGAGAGCACCATGGCATCTCCCTCCTGGGTGGTGTGAAGCGAGGAGCCCAATAAGTAATTCAGTAAGTATTTCACACTCACTCTGTGCCAGGTACAGCAGTGAGACAGAACTAACTGGTCCCTGACCTGGAATCAGAAGCCCAGGGAACTTTGTTCGTTAAGTGACCAGCATGAAGGGAGGGAGTGAAACCAGCAGCATTGGCTGTGTCATCCGTTGGATGTCAGCTGTTCTAGCCCTGGCCAGGTGCTCTGACTATATCTTCATGGAAACCCCATAAATCATGGGTATTGTTACCAACTTTTTGTGGTATGCAAATTGAGGTCCTGAGAAATTAAGTCCCTTGACCAAGGTCATGTGACTGACCACATTGTAGCTGGAATTAAAACCTACCTCTGTCAGATGCCAAAGCCAGTGCTCTTTACATTATATGGGTGAACACCCTGAGGCTTTGAAATCATCTACAGCACTTGGTGCTAGATTAAAGATTTTTGTCCAGAATTTCACCCTGCATTTGATGTCTCAGTTCTATTCAAAGCTGTAGCTGTGATCCTCAGACTTCATCTGCTGGACATTCCATTGTTGGTTAGTGTTGTGGTTGAAGTTCCTGATCTGAGCTTAGACTTGGTCCATTTGGTGCCAGAGTCAAAAATTATTATAAACTTGATTCATTCAACTGTGGAATGGCCACAAGAATTTTTTATTTTTGAAACAGCGTCTTGTTATGCAGTTTGGGCTGGCCTCAAACTTGTGGCAGCCCTCCTGCCTCAGCCTCCCGAGTGCTGGGATTACAGACATGCACCACCATGCCTGGCCATTAGCCACAAGAATTTAAAGGAAGACTTTTGGAGTTGGACAGATTGTCAGTGACTAATTTGATTCCTAGCTTATTTTATCTAGGAACATAAAGCTGTGTCTCATGTCACAGTGTCTTAAACGTTCAAGTGTTCTTCAGTATTAATAGTAATCCAAATCTTTAGCAAAATGCTACGGAGCATTAGTAGCTGCTGGTAGGCAGAATCAGAAAGCCACAGTGCCGGCAATCCAGTGTTTTGCTTTAATTGCATCCAGTGTGTACTTAGAGTTGATCTGCATTAACTTGTATTTATTCTTCTAGATGTCTGTCCATTCCAGAGTTGTTATTTGATCCTGAGAATTATGAGCTAAAAGGTCACCACAAAGGGCTTTTCCAGGCAACACTGAAAATTTAAACCTTCCCAGAAAAGGCTTTGAATGCCCTTGTAAAGATCCCTGATAACATGCTCAGCATGCCTCAGTGATCCTACCCTGGAGCTTTCCAAGAGCTGGACCTGCCTTCATGGCCCAAAGCCCATTGCTACCTTTTACTAAAGCTCTTTCAAAACATCCGTCTTAGACAGGGGCTGCTGGCTCTGTGATGATCTGGGATCCTGAGTAAGCTTCTGAGCAGATCTTTAGCTGTGCCTGAGCATAAATGATTATATCAGGTAAGAGAAGAGATTAGATCCCCAACGTGGATTGAGCTCTTATTATATTCCAGCACCATTCTTAGCCTGTGCTATATCTTCACAGCACCCTTGAGAGGTAGCCGCATCATCTTATTACCCATTCTACTGATGAGGAAAATTACTGAGGGCTGGAAAGGTTGCAGGGCATACAGAGAATGGCTTTTCCAAGGCCATCCTGGGCTGTATCTTGGAGAACTCCCCAGAGCTCCTCTGGCCTCTCATGATGGAACAGTGTGTGTGCTCAGCTCTTAGTGACCTGGTGTAGACAGAGGGGACCATATAAAAATGGGTATCCTCCCAAGAGATTTCTCATCACCCTGCTAATCATCTTCATGTGTGCTTAGTACTGAGTCCTTAGACTTCCAGCAAGTGTTAAAGCCTGATGTAGCATCTCTACCTCATGTCCTTGGTGCTTCTATTCCCCACCCCACCCCAGTCCCCTGCGCCTTTTTTGCCCTGAACAAGCAGCCCTACCGTTGGCACATGTGAGGTCCTCGCATGGTGAGGAGTGGATGTTTCCCTGCCCTTGGGTGTACAGCACTGTACCACAGTCACCTGCCCACTGCCTCTTCTTCCTCCCTGGTCCCCAGGTATCCTGTACCAGGGCCTTTGAAAAGGCAGGAGACCTTTAGCCCTTTGTGGTGGGACAAAGGGGGTTAAGGAACTTTGAGATTCAGATCTAACCTCCTGGACTCAGGGACTCCCATCTGCACATTTACTTGCTGGATTAAGTTATTTATGTGAATTTACTCATACTAAATGTGGAGAAGACTGGACATGTGGTGCATAGTGTGTATGGAAGCAGGTGTGCCCTCTCCTTGGTACATAGTCATGGCTCTCTCACACAGCGTCTGCACCTCCTGGTCAACTGTCATTGTACTGTTTTAAGGTAAGTGTGCTCTGACGACCACTTGTCCTGTCTTCTCTGTAGGGGCACCCATGGGTACATGGCTCCTGAGGTGCTGCAGAAGGGGACAGCCTATGACAGCAGTGCCGACTGGTTCTCCCTGGGCTGCATGCTTTTCAAACTTCTGAGGGGGTGAGTGGAACCACCGTGCTGCCATGTGCTTGGACCAATATCAATAATGCTTTGGGCTGGGCTATAGCTCAGCGCTAGAGCACTGGCCTACCACACTCAGTGCCCTAAGTCCCATCCCAGCACCAAAGCAGCGGGTATTTAGAGATTACTAGACCCTCATATCTGAAATCACACAGTGATACTCCAGCCATAGGCTGCTCTGAAAGATGCCTAGGCAGCTCTTTGTGCCTTGCAACATGAGAGCCGCTTTCCCATAAGCTTCTAGATCAAAGCACAGGAATTCCAGTATGGTTAACCCTAAAGTGAGACTGTTTTGGGATATTTTCATTGATAAGCCATGTTCTGGGAGTAAGTAGAGTATTTATTAAAATGTGGATAATTGAAGACTGTGGGGTAATTTTTCTCCCTGCTAATTATTGCTAAGATTCTCTTGTGAGCCAAAAGCATATTGAGGATCACCCACCAAAAAAGATGAAGAACTAAAATAAACCCACTTTAAAAGTTTGAATTTATTTGTAAACACACTGAAACTAATTCATGTTTTTAAGGTTAATACAGCGCTTGACCTGGTTCTAAAGTACTGAAAATGATAAGTTATAATGGAGAAGATAGGAAAGGAAAACACTCTCAAAATTTGTTCTCATATTGCTCAAGTTGTGATGATGTTTCCATGAATTTTAAGAAGTTTTAGATAATTTTAATGGTAAACTGTTTTAATAGAACTTAAATGTTTTTCATTCTTCTGCACAAGATTCAGAAGGCACTTTACCTTGCAATTTCCCAGTCAAGATTTCCCTCTTACCATTTCCTCTGTGAATGGTCCTGCCATGCACTGAGCTGTTCTATCTGCATGGCTGATGGTGCCTGGGTGCATCTTCTGAATCTGTTTAGCATGCTCTGAAGAGAGGCTGATTTCTACACACCCCAAAACCAGGGTCTAAACACTTGCACTGTTTCCTCAGGACACTGATAATCTGTTTGTTCTTTGCTCACCATATTCACTGGGGATCTAAAATTGCCCTATTGCTTAGAAAGTCAGGTCTGTTATTCCATAATCAAATCACTGCATTTGTGGAGCCTACATGGCTTTAATTCCTGTCTTCAGACTAGCTGACCTGATTAGAGAGTTTATGCAAAACAAACTAGAGCAAGCCATTTCCCCCATGAGAGCCTTTCTCCCTGATAATATCCCGTGTGAGTCCAGGGAGACACCAGTAGTCTTTGGTTTGGTTCCTGCTGGATATGGGGTCAGACATTAAGAATCTGTACCTAACAGAATCTGTGGATGAAAACAAACTGAGCATCAGCCAGCCAATTGAAGGCAACAGTCAGCAGTGAAGTATAACAGGGCTGCCCATGAAGCCTTGCATTTAGGGTTTTGTTTGCTTCTTTGTTTTGTTGTTCTGTTTGTAAAAATGTCAATGCATATAGGTTGGGAAACATCTGGTATAGCATTACTTTATTTCCTGAATGACTGGAGGGTTTTGTACTTTTGGTCCAATACTGTGATTTGTGTCTAATAAAGTGAATTTACTCATATTTGGCCACAAGTAAGTGAATTTGCTCTTACTTGGCCATCAAGTTTGTGTTACTACTGAATTAGAAGATATTAGACCCTTATGTGAAGTCCTGGATCAGGCTTGTTGGGAGCATTATGCTCCATGTGGCTCCTATCAAGGGGAGTCTTGGCAGGCAGGAGGACACCAGAGGATGGCCCTAAGGACAGGGTGGGAAGAGTGGTGACTGAGGTAGATATTGGGGCTCCCATGGAAAGGTTGAAAGAGCCAGCCACAGAATTTAGAGGCCAGAACAATCAACTCTAGCATTTAGAAGGCCATCTTACTGAGGGGATTGTTTTCATGCCGCCCTACTGCAACATGACTGCAGGCATACTTGGAGGAGGGGGGGTTGCAGTTTGACACAAGAATGTCCGTTGAAACATATGAGCTGCCAAAGAAGGAGCATTCTCTCACAGATAACAAGCTCCCCATTGCTGTCTAGTGACTGTGGATTGAGCCTGAAATGGCAGAATCCTTCCTGTATATGACAGATATACCCACCAAGATTTATGATCTTATGCCATCCTTTCTATTACTTATTCAAATGACTTTCATGGAAAGGATACAGCACTCAAACCAAAGAGCAGGAAATGTGTTTTGACTTAAGTGATTTAAATTAAAGTTGATAAACATCTATTGAATACTCAGAATACACAAGAGGCTGCTGGATGCAGTGGAGGGAGGGAGGGAGGGAGGGGTCCACTCACACAGGACAGGAGCCACATGAGCTGTGCCGTAGGTATGTACAGACAGTGGCCATGTGCTGGGGGCACAGAAATGGGAGCACAATCCAGATGAGTCAGAGCAGGCCCACCTATCATGTGGGAGATGGAGTGCAAAGTGGGCTGTGAAGGACAGACAGGATGACACTACAAAGATGGGGCAGGGCGGCACCAGGTGTATCTATGTGGAGGGGACTCCAAAGGCCAGGCTGCTGTTCTCCTTGGTGTCCAGGGGTTGGTGAGCACCATGTCTCGGGAGGGTGGTTGCTGGGAGGAGGGGAGAAGACTGGGTCAAGGGCACTTGAGGGGCCTTGAATGCCTTTATCTCATGGTCCCAGAGGCTGAGGCTTTCAAGCCAAGGAGTAACGTAATCATTGGAAGGTTTGCCAGGAAGAGGGCTCTGGTAGCAGTAGGCAGCGTTTTGAAGGAGGGGAAGGCATGGGAACCTTACGAAGGCACATCAATGCAGGGAGTGGCACAGGGATGGGTGACAATCAGCACTACAGAGTCAGCATCCCTGGTGCCACAGCCTTTCACAGACACATGGATATGGAAAGAGAGGAGTTGAAGATGATGCCGCTTTAAGTAATTGGGAGGGAGGAGAGTAGTACCATTACCAGAATCAACAGTTATAAAATTGCAGAGGTTCAGAGTAAACTACTGTTGCCTGGGGCCTTTCAGGAGCAGATACCTATGATGGGGCTGGCAGGTGTGGCCATGCAAAGGAGCTTTCATTCTCTGAGCTGTGAACGCAGGAGAATGCCACCTGTTGCCACCTGTCCCACTTCCTAACAAAGATTTGTGTGGAAAACCTCAGCACGGTGTCTAGCAGCACCCTGTGTGTTCATACATCATCTAGAAGGGTGCCAGCCCCAACAGCTGTCCTTTCTATGACACAAGAAACAGAAACGAGTGAAGCAGGAGGCTGAGTGGCCAGAGCACCAAACCAGCACCAGTGGGGCCTCCTGCATGCTGGCTTTGGACAGCCTGTCTCCTCTGCCTCCTGACACGGTCATGGGGCAGCTATAGCCAGACACTGTGCTAGCAGCCACCCAGGGCTTGTGCTCAACCTTTAGGGAGCACATGGCACTGCTTGGAGATATTTTTGGTTGTTATAACTTGGAGAAGAGCTAGTATATAGTGGGTACAGGCCAAGGCATCCTAAAGTACCCAGGCTGGTCCCTTGCACCAACCCCTATTTTGGCAGTGCTGAGATAAGGAACCTGCTCTAGGTCAAGACCCTTCACCCTCTTCCCACACCTACGCAGTAAGGTTGAGCCAGTAGTCATGAGGTATCATTTGCAGTTTTTATTTCCTGTGACTTACTCCTCCTCCCACTGATCAGTGTGTCCTGTCTTTTCTGCCAAAACACTGATCTGCATACCTCCTTTTGCCTGATGCCCCAGAACAGTGGTGGCAAACCTATGTCACACATGCTGCAGCGGGCTGTTTGTATCATTGAAAGCTCTAAATGATTTGCCATCACTGCCCCAGAAACAGCAGCAGCACAAGGCATTTGGAGCAGGATTCTGGATGGGAGGACGCTGCCAGGCTCTAGAAGGTGCCTTGAATCCCTGAGCTCACAGCAATGAACAGGCCCATCCATACATCATGTTTATGGGTATGGTCACTGTATCTGTCTCAGATGACCTTGTCAGATGTTTAAGAGCACCTGCTGTGTATGAATATGTGTCTGCATTGCAAATCTGTGGCTTTGCCATCATGATCCTTCATCTGGATTGAAGATGTCTGTTAAAAAGAATTGATGTGGCAGTGGGCTCAATCATAAGCTTGTCACCATTTATTGACTGTGCCTGGAGATGTCAGGCATCAGGCAAGAGCTTGGGTGGGTGGTGGCTTGGGAAGAATTGATAGTTGCCTGGGGTTACTGAGTTTGCTCCATGTGGGAAAAAAAATAGGAATGTTTGTAAATATTTTGGCAGCTATGGGCTCAGACTCAAAAAGCATATTTGATATAACATCCAATCTTTTTGGTATTCAAAAATTAATTTTTGATGTGAGAGTTTTTAATCTCTTGTAATTGTCTAGTTTTTGAACTCACTATTGCACTATGAATTTGCTATACTAATGTGAGGTGTGCCTGTGCGTCCTCATCCTCTTGAACGATTTCCCAACTCCTTAGGAGGACACTTTCAGCTTTCCCGCTGTCTGTTCCACAGAAGCTGCACTTGACCACTGCACATAGAATTCTGTTCCCACTTCCCTCATGCTGGAATGTCACTTGTGGTGCCCAGGGAACTTGGCTGTGCACTGCAAGCTGATGACAGGCCTGTTGGTGTCTCCCATTTAAAGCAGGCTGCACCAGGGAGCAGCTGCCATCACACAGGTTCTGTGAGCACCATGTGCCCCACTGGGAATGGAGATTATCACTATCCAAGGTTTTCTTTTAACATTTCCCAAAATAAAAGCCAAATCTTTGGCTTTGTTCACAAAGAATAATCAGGGCTACACTGGAAACAGATGTGCATCAAGAGTTTAACTTGAAAGCCCAAACTTTCTCAACAAGACAGCGTAGAGTTGAATAGCTGAAAAGCAATTTCTGATAATTCTTTATTGAGTGGGACATGGATCGCTATATTTATAAATGGGAAGTTACAGTGCTTGGCCCCATGTGCT